CATATGTTTGCTTATATGCACACACACTCATAAATGTAAATATATACATATGCACATATGCACACACAGTGTGCAATGCGTCCTTACACACATGTATACACGCATACATATGCGCATGCACACATACACATATACGCACACTGGTAAACTCATCTACACCAAGACATACATATTCGCAGTGTGCACATATACACATGTGTGCATACACACCATACACAAACGTGCATGCACATACACACGTGCTCACTCATATACTCACATTTACGCATAATGCAGGCACATATCTAAACATGTGTGCCCATATACTCACACATAAAACTCACACACACATACCCAGATATGTGCACAATCACAACACACACATATACACACTGTGCAACAGACTCACATGCACACGAGCACATACGCTCACATATGTGTACACGCACACTCACCTATCTACACACACCCACACACATGCATATGTGCAATAAACATACTCGTGCATGCACTCGCCCAGTCGTATACATCTGCGCACACATACGCCTATGTGTGCACACAACTTACATACACGTGTGCATACATGTGCTCATGCACAGGCAGGTGTACATCCACGCCTATGCACACATACATTCACTCGTGCACGTGCATGCAGACACACTCACCCATGTGTCCACGTACATAGGCAAATACACACACAACACACACGTACACACAGTCCTATTGCCTGGGGCTCCAGATCCACCCATTACACCCAGACTCAATGGGCAGCAGAGCCTAATCCCCAGGGCTGGGTCCAGAGACCCAGATCCCAACCCATTAAGTCCCTTCACCTCAGTGGTCCCCTTTCCTCAATCTGTAAAATGGGCCGAGAGAGTGTGGCTTCTACCCCTCCCAAGACTGCTGTGAGAGCCAGTCCAGGGGTCAGATGCTGCCAAAAGCTGTCAGGAAAGAGGCCAGGGCGGCTACATCGGTCTGTTTCTGCGGTATCTAGTACAGTGCCAGGAACACAGTGGGCTCTTTGCACGGCATCATCCCCCTTCCCTTTTGTTATTCTGTTACCAGGGATGGGGGGGGGAGAAATTTATTTGAAAATAAAAGTCATGTAAAGAGAAGAGACCAACAAAATGTTTCAATTCTTGGTCACTGACAGACTCTTGTCTTTGCATTTCCAGCACCTAGCACAATCACGGGCACATAGCAGGTGCTTAATGGATGCTTGCTGATTAAGTGACTTCTGTCTTTAAATCCCTGACGCCTTCCACAGAGCCTGGCATGAAGAGGCATTAAATTCTTCTGTGGAACGAGCCAATGAGCCAGGGAGCAGTGCCCAGAGCACGGGCCTTGGGGGTAAGAAAGCTCACTGTGGACATGTGGCCCTGGGGCAGTCAGGTAACCTCTCTACACCTCAGTTTCCTCGCCTGTAGCTCAATGGCACTATGGTCCCCTCTGGCTCTCCATCTATGACCTATGATCTCACACACCTGGGGAACTTGGCAGTCCCTAAACGGACTGAGTATGGCATCCAGGGAGAAGAAAGCCAAGTTCAGGACGGGAGGACGTCAAGGTCCAGGCACGAGCTGGTCCTGGAGGGTGCTGAGGGACACTTTTTTAAAATTCCTCTCAACAGATGTGTTTGCTTTATTAAAAAAAAAGCACATACTTTTACATTTTTTAACTCTCCTGGTAATTCCTGAGGGTCCAGGCCATGCTCCCTTCCCTTCTAGGTGACTCCCTCTCCAGGCATCACTTCCTCAGCAGGGGCTTTCTCCTCCCACCACCCCCAGCTCCCCTTCACATCCAGCTTTCCTCCATTAGAATATCAGTTCTCTGAGGGAGGAACTCCCCCGCCTGCTTGTCTCTGTATCCCCAGGGTTAGCACAGTGCCTGGAAAATAGTAAGCACTTAATAAATCCTTGTTTCTATCTATCTATTCCTCTGTCTGTTTCTGTTTCTCTCTGTCTGTGTGTGTGTGTGTGTGTGTCTCTCTCTCTGTCCATCTATCCATTAATCCATCCATCCATCCTCATCTCTATCCATCTATTCCTCTATGTCTCTGTCTCTCTGTCCATCCATCCTTGTCTCTATCTATCCATCCATTCCTCTCTCTGTCTTTATTTCTCTGTCTGTCTGTCTGTCTCTCTCTCTCTCCATACTTCTATATTAATCCATCCATCCACCCTCATTTCTATCCATCCATTCCTCTCTCTCTGTCTCTCTCTGTCTCTGTCTCTGTCTCTGTCTCTCTCCACATCCATCCACATTCCCACTGATCTAGAGAAACACAACCCAAGAGAAAAACTGAGAAGTCTCCATCTCCGTGGGGACAGACAGGAAACGGGGCCCTGGACAACTCAAAACCAGAGCGCAGCAGGGCAGAGATGGGGAGACAGACGCACGGCTAGGACCGCAGGCAGCGTCGGGCTCTCGCTCCCCGACCCTGGGTGAGTCAAACCGGGAGCTGCCCCCAGAGCACCCGGCAGGGGGGTGACCAGAGGAAACAGGGTGCGCTCCCCTGAAAACATGTGGCTAGGCCTGACAGGGGACCTGAGCAGATCCAGGCTGGGCTGCATCTCCCATTTCCCAGGACGCAGATGCCAGGCAGGACTACCCTTGTGGAGGACCCTAAGGCTTCCTCCTTCTTACCTTCCCCCCTAAACCGTTCCCTTCTTGTCTCCCAGACAACTCAAAGCCCAGAGAGCTTCTCCTCCCCCACCTTTGCCCATCTTAAACCACACCCCAGCCGCAGGACGGATGCCACGTTGGCATCTGGGGTCCATTCAGGGAGAAGTATCGGCACTAAAACTCAAGGAGAAGAGGGGTTTTCTCAGGCCATCACAGAACAAGAGCTAGAAGGACCCTCAGAGCCATTTAACCCAACCCCTTCACTTTACAAATAAGGAAACTGAGGCACAGGGGAATACGAGGCCATGCTAGGCGTACTTTCCATCAGCTACTCAACAACCAAGCGCCGGACAAGCCGGAAAGCATAAATTCCTTGAGGGGGAGCTCTCTATGGGACAAGAACTCAGAAAGCTGGAAAGCAGTCTGTCAGAAATTACACACAGACCAACACGCTGCACCATCTGACACGACAGGCGGACAACGTATGAGCAACTTGAATGTGGAAACTAAAGGGGAACCAGATCAGGGACCTTCCATGGCTGTGGTGAGGGAAGGGCTTCTTCACCAAACAAGGGACAGAGGCAACTGAAGAAGACCAAACAGGTAACCTCCATCACACGACACGAAGAGACCTTTTGTAGAAACAAAATCAGTGCAGCCGAGATAAGAAAGAAAGCTGCTCGGGGAAGGTATTGACTGGGGAGGAAAAAAGTCTCTGCATCTAATGCCTCCGATGAGAGTCTGACATCCAAGCTATAAGGGGCCCTAAGACAAGTAGCTAAGACCAGAGGCGATTCTCCAGATGGTAAGTGGCCCAAGGAGATGAAGAAACAGTCCTTAAAGGAGACTTTCAAACTTTAAACAACCATGTAGGGGCAGCTAGGTGGCACAGGGGATAGACCACTGGCCCTGAAGTCAGGAGGACCTGAGTTCAAATCTGGTCTCAGACCAGATACTTGACACTTACTAACTGTGTGACCCTGGGCAAGTCACTTCACCCCAACTGCCTCGTGCAGAAAAAAAAGAAGGAGAAATGCCCATCAAAACGAGCCTTAGGCTTTACCTCTCACCCAACGAATTGGCAAAAGTGAAAAAAAGATGTGAACAGTCTATGGTGGAGGGGGTTGTAGGATCATGGGCACTCCAATATAATCGGTGGAGCAATGAATTAGTCCAATGATTCTGGAAAGCAATATGAAATTATGCTTTTTTTTAAAAAGTGACTACAATGTCCATACCCCTTGATCCTAAGGGCAGCTAGGTGGTGCAATGGACAGAACACTGGGACTGGAGTCAGCGAGCTTCAGCCTTTAATAGCCATGTGACCTTGGCCAAGTCACTTAACCTCTGTTTGCCTCAGTGTCCTCTTCTGTAAAATGGGGATAACAGCACCTACCTCCCAGGGCTGTTGTGAGAATCAAATGAGAGAGCCTGGCACATAGTAAGAGCTACATAAATGTTAGCTGTATTGTTATTAATATTATCAGAGCCACAGATACCACGGGCAGGCATGTACCCTGTGAAGATCAAAAGATAGAAATGTCCAATTTGTACCAAAAATATTTATAGAGGCACCGTTTGTCAAAGCAAAGAACTGGAAATTAAATAAACACCCATTGATCTGGAAATTACCAAATAAACTATGGTACGTAAATGTACCATACCGCTGGTCTGTAAGAAGCAATGAAGGAATATAAAGATACAGGGGGAAGGGAAGATTTACTTGAATTTATGCAAAGTAAAATAAACAGAACTAGGAAAATAGAAAACAGATAGGTCCAGATTAGCAGGAAAAATTAACAGCCTGAAGTGCTCCTATGCATTTGAATCTGCAATGTTTGAAGTTGTGATTATGTAAAACATGGTCACTGGTTCCAACCCAACAGAAATAGGCAGGACATACTTAAGCATGCGACTGCTCCAGGGGATTCTCATCTGCACTGAGACCCAGCAGCATGTTCTGCTACAAGATGTGACGCATACGATGCTGATGACTACAATCATGCAACCGGAGGCCGCGTAATTAGAAGGCACCCCACCCACCCCCTCCCTTCTCTGTAGAGGTGGGGGACTATGGGTTAGGAGAGCAGAATACACTGCAAGAACGGACTCAGGGGTTCACTTGCATGAACTGTACTTTTGTTTTCATTCTTTATAAAGGATGGCTCTCCGGATGGGAGAGAAGGGATAGATTCAAAAACGAAGGTGACATAAAAACCAAAGATACCGATAAAAAAAATTTTAACCTCGCCAACCAATCTTCAGATCTGGCCAAGACCAGCCTCGCCCAGAGCCCCTGTTCCAAACAAGAGCACCCACATGGCTCCCCCAGCCCACTGCCGATGGGTATGGAGAGAAGCGGGACGGGGCGGAAATGGCGCAGAAGCCCCACTTACTGAATGCGGCCGGGCAATCTGGACCGGGTAAGAAATGGCATGAGGAGGGTAGCGGGGCTCCGAGGCTCTCCAGGTCTGTGGCACAGGCTGGGCTGATCCAGACATGGTGACCGGAGGCACGGGGACCGCTTCTGCCCCCCTCTTGGTCGCGTGTTCTCTCTCAATCTTTGGGATCCAAGGAGATCTCTACATCATCCGCGTACCTCCTGGTCACATGGCACCTGTCAGGGACAGGAAAGACAAAAGGCAGAGTGAATACGATGCTGACCACAGCTCAGGAACCCCAACACACCACTCCCCTGACCCTCACAAAAAGGCAATGATTTTTATTCCTCAAGATCATTCAATCAGTAAGCCAATCAACAAGCATTTACTAGGCACCAGCTATATGCCAGGCACTGTGCTAGGCACTGGGGGGGGGGGGACAAAGACAAAAAGGAACCTGTCCCTGCCCTCAAGGAGCTTACAATCTAAGAGGGAAAAAAACGTGAACAGCCACTGAGTCTAGCCCACCAAGAGAAATTGGAACCCACCTCCCCTCACGCATGCATCTGTCTTGAGAGGCCCGCCCCAGGCCTTCCTCCACCCTCTTCTATTACCAATGGGCCCTGCCCATCACCTGGAATCTACCCCACAACCACATTCTGCCAGTATTCCCCCCCCAAAAGAATTAGGAATGGTCATCCCTCCAGAGAAAAGATGCTTGTCCAAGGTTAAAAGGTGCAGGAACCGGGGTCAACAAGGCAACTGTCTCTTATACTGACCCTTCTCCCAGCAGTGAAGGTCCCACCTCTCCCTCTCCCTCCTCTCCCCTGCCTCCCCCCTCTACTGCTACCTCCCAACCCAGACATCACCTGATGTCCGGCCTACCATTAGCTCAGGGCGGGCCCAGTCAGGGGCTTTCCAAAGTATCAGGGCAAAGTTCAGCTAGGGCAGCTGCTGCCCCTGCAGAAAAAACTCCCAGCAGGTGCCGTGACAGACAAGTCTGGGAGGCCGACAGCCAAAGCACTTTATTCTCCCGAGTCCCCAGGCCAGGCCCAGGAAGACTCCAGGGTCAGGGGTCAGGAGGCCTGCACCCCAGCCTTGGTTCTCCCATCTACTTGCTAGGCAGCCCCTCAGCAGCTCACGTAACTTCTCTGAGATAAAAAGGGGAATGGCGAGGCAGACATTAAGAGGCAGGAAATCAGACAAGATGAGAACCGAATGGAGAGAAAACTGCTATTTGGGTCATTTCCATTTTTTCAGACTTAGGTGACAAGAATAACTGGAAACAATTACCGTTCACATTTATATGGTGCTTTCAGGTGTGCAAAGCCCCTTCCCATCTATTATCCCATTCAACCCTCACAACAACCCTAAGGGGCATGTGATATTATTCGAAAGATGAGGCAACTGAGGCTGAGAGACAGAGTGACTTGCTCCTCAGTGGATACCAGAAACAAGATGTGAACCCTGGCCTTCTCAACTCCAAGTCCAACACTCTACGCACTAAGCCAGGCTTCTTCTCTAACAGTAATCCCAAGATGCTGACATTTCTTGTTCCCTATGAAGGACTTAACTCCCCACTCCAGCTCCCAAGAAGGGACCAAGGAAACTTCAGAAGCCCACAGGCTCTCATGCTCTTCCAAGCCACAGGCAGATAAACTAGGCGGCGACTGGCTAATAATACGGCCGGTGGAGGATGGGGAGGAGAAGAGTGATGAGAAAGGTAAACACGCAACGCTATGCAGGCACACACAGACGCACACAACTTCAGAAGGCCATGCTGACCTAACTTATACCCAGGTGCTGGGGAGGGGGAGGGGGAGAATGTACCTCCTGGGTCAGTGGGAAAGCAAGCAGGGTGCTCTGAGATACAACGAGTGCTTGATCCGGGGCCAGACGGCCTCAAGCTGAAGTCATAGGATCCCAAACCTGAGGTTGGGTGGAGCCTCAGAGACCATGTGGGACACTCACTTTACAAAAAAGGAAACTGAGGCCCAGGAGAGGTAAGCAATTTGCTGCAGGCAGAGCTCAGGCCCTCCTCCTTACCACACGTGACTCTGCGTAAATCACTTCATCGCACTTCCTTCCACGCTCACACATCTACAGAAGTCCACTGGCCAACAGAATGGAATCACCTTGAGGGCAGGGGCTGCTTTGGTTTGGTCTTTCTGTCCTCAGCTCATAGTGATCACTTACGAAACTGGCTAAGAGATAGGGACGGGACCTGGCATCTCACTGACAGGGAGAACCAGATGAGGAAACTTTCTTAGCAAGGCAAGTCAGCACCTTCTCCGAGACCCAGAGTCCTAGGGGGGATACTAAGGTTAAGTGGCACAGAGCCAGGACAGGACGGCTCCAGGGCCAGCCCTATCCTCTAAACCACACTGCCTCTCCTTTGTAGAGGAGCAGAGATACCAAAAAAGGAGGTGCGTCTCAACTACCTCTGTTACCTCTTGTCATTCTAACCCTAGGACCATCATAAAAGAAAAGCCCCCTCGATTCCCTCTTATTGGACAGGTCTGCTGGCTCCCAGAAGCCAGGAGAGACACAAAAGAAAGGTCCAGGGCCTCGGCGGCTCCCAGGAAGGGGGCCCCTTCCTACAGCAGCAGAGAAATGGTCTCCCTTTTCCCCACCTCAGTCTTCCTATCAGTAAAGCGAGTGGGTGATGCTGAAAGTTCTCAGTTTGCTCCAGCTCAATGATTACTAAGTTTTCAGTGTGAGCTTTTACACGTCAGAAATCAGCAAATACTACAAATCAACGCTTGACTTGCTGTTCTGTGGACTGTCTAGACTTAAGAAATCGGTGGGGAAAACACGAATGATGCAGACTGAATTTAAAAGTCTGTCCGCTGTACTTTTTTCCCCTAGGGAGCCAAGTATTAAACATTTACCAGCACATCCCTGGCTTGCCTCCCACCTCTCACAATATGTATTTGACTGACTCAACATCCGAATGTCCCCGAGAAGCCAGCTTCCTCTCTCCCTCCCACCTGTAGTCAGGAGACACTGTTCAATTCCGTTCCTGGAAAGATCACTGATCCGCAGCTGGAAAAGACCGGAGAAGCCATCTGACCCAATCCCTCCGCTTTCAAGAGAAGGACCCCAAAGGTTAAAGGTGCTGCCCACAACCCTGCTCAAATCCCTGCTAGGAGGGGAAGCTGAGGCTGAGGCCGAGGCCGACAGGAGGCTTGAACTTGGGAGGCCTGAGCTGCTGTGGGCCAAGTCCCAAGGCGGGCCACCATACTGGCCGTTAGCGCACAAAAGGCTCACAAGAGCTCAGTGAGGAGACCTCTTTCTCAGAGAGGGTAGGAAAATAACATGGGGAGCCCCCACGCTGCCTAAAGAAGTGTGAACCAGCTCAGGTCAGAAACAGAGCAGATCAAAGCTCCCAAGTCTCAATCAATAGTGAGATCTGGGCAGGAGAGGCCACTGCACTTCTAGCCTGAGTGAGACAGGGAGACTGGGCCTTCTTGAAAGAGAGGGAGGGAGGGAGGGAGGGAGGGAGAGAGGGAATCAGGGAAGGAGGAAGGGCCAAAGGAGATCCAGTAGGATGGATGGGACTACAGCACCTACAAGCCGGTCACTCTTGGCCTGACCTAAGCAGGTGGTAAGGATGGGGAGCACTAAGCCATTTATGTTCTTTCATAGGTTCAATCAATCAATCAATAATCAATAAGCATCCATCAAGTTCCCACTGCGTGCCAAGCCCTGTGCTGAGAGCCAGGGAGATGAATCAGGCAATCAACAAACATCTCCTACGTGTACAAAAACCAAAAATCAAAACCAAACCAAACAATTCCTGCCCTCAAGGAGCTTACCTCATCCTATCAGGGGAAAACAATACAAATGGAGGAAGTGTGTACGAAACACAAAGTAATTTGGGGGTCTTCATATTACAAGAGACCAGCTTGTCCAACCTGCCCCTTTTAGAGATGGAGAAACTGAGGCCCTAAGAGGTAAATGACCGGTCCCGGGTGGGCGCCACAGTTAGCTAGGGCAGAGCAGGAATCCAAAGCCAGGTCCGACCCAGACCTTCTGATGCCGTGTCCACGCCGGGCACAATGCTGTAGGACACGCTCCAACCCACCTTATGACCAGCAAGCAGAACGCACTCCAGGCGTGCCTAAGGCTGGGGGTGGAGGCCCAGAAAATCGAGAATACTCATGACAATGACACATTCCAATAGTGGGACTGCAGTCTAAGGATCTGGGTTCAAATCTCTGGCTCTGCTACTTACTGCCTTGTGTGACCCTGGTTAAGTCTCTGGCCCACCCTGGGCCTCAGAGGAGTCAGACACAATGGCGTCTGAGGTCCCTTCAGGCTCTCATTCTTTGATCTTATTATTAAGATGGTAAATACTTGAAGGCAGTGACCATGCCCTCCTCTTCTCCAGTACCTTCCACTAGTCTGACTCACCAAAGCCTATGAACAACAGTAACAGCCACACCTGGGCATTCCCTAATCTCTGCCCAAAATGATCCAGGAGCTGAAGGAACTTCAAGGGCATCGAGTTTAACCCCCTCCTGTTACAGGTGAGGAAACAGAGGTCCAGAGGGGTTCCCAGGTCAGAGGTTTGGAGCCGGAAAGAAGCTCAGAGGCCATCCTGCTGGTCCAATCCCTTCGTTATACCAAGGAGGAAACTGAGGCCCAGGGGGGAGGGGGCAGGGAGGGCAGTAGCACATGGCTAGACAAGTAGCAGAGCTAGGATCTGAGCCCAGGATGAACCACGCCACCACGCCTGTCCCGTTTCGGTTCCTAACATCTTCCTTAAATGCCCCATCGCCGGAAAGGAAGAGAAGGGGTGAGCACAGTACCTGAAAGTAACTGCAGTTAGCAGAGACTGCACAAAATAATTAACCTCACCCCAGGTTTGACCCAGCTCCTCTCTCCAAAGACACCAGCCTTTCTCCAAGACAAGGGGGCAGTTGCGGGAGCTTCCCCCCCCCACCCCCACCATTGTTCCAGAAGGGCTGCAGGCCATTTCGAATTTTCTATTTATGCTATTTTGTAACCCAGGCCAAAAAATTTAAAAAAAAAAAGATTTATCCATAACTGTTTCTAACTTCCTTTTCCCCAGTGAAATTCCTGAGAAACAACCCATACAAGCCAGGCCCTCCTGCGGTCAGAGGTTCTGTCCAAACCACCTCTGCAAAACCCCCCCATCTCTTTTCCCACTGCCTGGTCCAGATCCGGCCACCAGCCCGAGGTGCTTCACCCGTTCCAAACTGTCAGCAGC